GACCATATGGGATGCTGGGAATTGAACTCACGTCGGCCGCGTGCAAGGCAAACGCCCTAACCACTGCGCTATTGCTCCAGCCCCAACAGTTTGGTTTCTTAAAACAAAAAACAAAACAAAACAAAAAAAAACTCTAGATCGTCTAGCATAACTTGTGGAAGTTGAAATCTACGTGCACAAGCACATACATGTTTGGTTCCATTTTTAGTGGTCCCATGTACTCCGTTGCCCCTCAAGACGGAGCACCGGGCCAGACCAGACTGATCAGGGTCTGCGGTCAGGGCCAGGGGTTACGGAGCCGGAGCTGTAGCACCACAGGACGGCTGCTTGCCAGACCCGGGTTCCATACACCAGCATCCCACACGGTTCTCTAAGCCCTACCAGGAGTGATCGCTGAACACCGATGCGTGTGGCCCAAAAACCAAAAAAAGGGGGGGGGGAGGGAGAACCGGGGGTTGAGCCTGCTGCTGTGAGAATTGGGAGGCTTTCAGGGTTTTCAGACGGGCTTTAGAAAGACCCTATTGACTGTAGAAATGAATCCAGGTAGGGGGCACTTTTCCCACCTATATAAATAATTTTACCTCTAAAATAAAGATGAACATGGACGAGAGGCATGTATAAATAAATCATCACAGTTTTTCACTGATAGCATATCCACTCCCTCATTTTTGGAAGTTTGTTTTTAGGAAATATGTACGGATAATTATTTCCCTTGGTGGAGGGCCATCGGGTCTGCAAGTTTAGGAAATAAAAATCTTTCAGGAAATAAAAGCTCAAGAAAACTTTAAGGGATAGCATACTCGCTTTTGCTTTCGGAAAAGAGGGTTTGGGGGAGGTGGGGGGGGTTGGTGGCTGAGCCTGCCGACTGGGTGTCTAATATTGTTGCAGATTTAACATTAAGTCACCATTTGGGGGAATGAGGAAGGGGAGGCCCCAGGGATAGTTGTGGTATCACCCCGAAAGGGAGCACACTGTCCACACAGAAGACAGGGAATCTCTTGGAGGGCTTTGGGGAGCAGCGCTGTTTTGGGGTCTGGTGATAAGCGTGAGAAAGGGATGAGACCCCTCTCTACTTAGGCCTGTTTCCCCCTCCCCCCCCCTTTTTTTAAAAAAAATCTCTCCCCAGAACAGAGTTTCCTCATGGATTTGGTGAGCTCTGAGCTGGCTCTGCATTTACTATCTGCACACATTGATAAGGGATTTTCTGACAGGAGAATAAGGAGATGGGTTACGGCGAGGGATGCGAGCCCAGGAAAGCTCTCTATGAAGATTTCGACAATAATCAGGAGCCTCCATGAGAAGGGTTGCAAATATAGACCTTCCCAACCCCCCCCACACGTCCGTCGATTGAAAAGCGTGTTTCCACGCCCACCCCAAGATGTTATAACATCGCTTCTTTCCCTTTTTTCCTCTGGAAGACAAAGCAGAAAAACAAAAACATGCATCCAATCTAAAGGGGTAGGTTCATTCCCTATAGCGGCTACAGCCGAGTTGATGATTTCAAACGACAGTAAGTGAACAACCTTACACTTCTGGAGGTCTCAAGATGGGCACCAAGGGCTTAGTAGGGGGGAGTCCCTTGTGGATGGTCAGAGGGGGTGAATCTCTTTTGCCCCCTCGACTCCTTCGGCTTATCATCACTATCCCTATTTCTTGGCTATTTCTTGGCTGGGAGTACCTAGCATTTGCAACTGCCACTGAAATCATTTACATATTATTCAAAAGAAAACTTCTGGGGGGGGGTGATGGAGTGCCTAAAGGAAGTCAGACGTAAATGTGTTGATTACCCCATCCTCCATGGCCCGAGGTCAAAGGGGACCTTCTTCCTGGTTTATCTTTACCAGAAAGGAGGAGAGGGGGCATGAGCACCTGCATTTGTATAGAAAAGGGAACTGGCAGGTCCTGGCCTCTCAAAGCAGTAAAATTGTTTTTGTGTGTGTGTGTTTGGGGGGGGGGGGTTCTATTCCTGGTGCAGGACTTTAAAGTGGGAGAAATTGACAAGGATCTGAGAATCCCACAAGCCCGCTCTTTGTCCATGCAATCTTGCTAGTGGCAAGAGGGAATTCTGGTAATACTAATAAAACATGAAATTTTAAATACAGTCATCGCGCACAGCAAGTTGGCTGTTGTTCTGCTGTGGTTTTAAATGACAATGCTTACGAATCTTCCAAGCAAGTACAGATGGGAACATGTTGAGAAGGAAAACAAAAGAAAATCACCCCTGATTCCTGATCCATTTTCTCTAAACCCACCCCTTCTAACCGGTCACATGGATTGTGTTATTCCTACTGTGGATAGACTCTGCATTCTCGCAGAGAGCAATTGCTGCGGGCAAAAATAAACAGATAAATAAACCAAGGATGCCCTTCAGAAATCAACTTAGTCATCTCTGTAAGCAAATGTTTGGTCTTCTTGGATCACCAGGAAAAAAAAAATTAAGTGTGGAGTAAGAATGAAGCAAAAGGGATGAGTGGAATAATAGTAAAATAATCAAAATAATTCCCAGTAAGCCCAGTTATGCTGTAACTAGGGAACCATTATATATTTTTTTTTCATATCATTTAACTGTGAAGAAGGAATTGGAATAATGTGAAGTAATTTGTTTTTCCATAAAGGGGCCTGGAAAAGAATATTTCATTTGTCATTTCAGGGTCATTTTAGCCCTGCCCTGTTCCCTCCATATACATGTTACCCAACACCCTAGCAGCTACGGAAATCACTGATAGCGTTTCCCCCAGTACCTAAGGGGGGAAAGGGAGAAAGAGGAGGCCTCTAAGGCCTCTGAGAGGAGACAGAAGTGGAGAGAAGTAGTAGTAAAGTGTTTGCATTTAAAAAGAAGTTACCACTTTAAGAAAAAAAGAACCAGCTCCTGGGGCTGGAGCAATAGCACAGCCTTGCAGGAGGCCGGCCTACTGGGTTCGATTCCCAGCATCCCATATGGTCCCTTGAGCACCGCCAGGGGTAATTCCTGAGTGCAAAGCCAGGAGTAACCCCTGTGCATCACCGGATGTAACCCAAAAAGAAAAAAAAAAGATCCAGCTCCTGCTTGAAAGGAAAACAACGGGAAAGCACAAATATCAAAACTGCCAACAGTATTTGGATTAGGGTAAATCTATAGGTCAGTTTCAAATTGCCACTTTCACATTTTGCAAATATTGCCAAAGGAAGGGGCCAGTGAGATAGTACAAGACTCGGCTTCCATCTCTGCCACCAATATGGTCCCCAGCACTGCCAGGGATGATTCCCTGAGCTTAGAGCCAGGTACAGACCCAGCTCTGAAAAACCAAATGAATTTCACATGAATGTGTATTTTATCTAAGCAGCTGATAGAGACAGGCTTCCCAAGAAAGTCACACTGGGTCTGATCCCTCCATCCCCCTCCCCAAGAGAAAGAAATTTACATATTTGCGCTTGGAAAAAGAAACTGACAAACTTTATAATGGGGAATTATTTTTAAAGAAGCAAATAGGAATGTGCCCAGGATGGATTCTACATCAAGACTGGATTTGGGGCTTTGGCATCAAGATTCCATAGACAAGGCAGCTGATAGGCAAGTAGAATTGGATGCTAATAGCTGGAATCTGTTTTCAGTGGCTACGGGACCCTCCCCCAAAAGACACAGCTTCAACCCCCCTGGCTCAGCCTTATTCCCCCTTTGTGTCCCGACCTCTGACACATGACTTCCAACACATGACCTCCGACACATGACAGCCCATTTGGGTGGAAAAGACAAGAGGGTCAAGGAAGAGAGAAAAATCTAAGCGAGCTCTGAACTTTACTTCCAGAACTCTTAGGCTTACTCAAGTAAATTCTCGCAGAGGAAGAGCTACCAAACTTTTGCAACCCATCCAAGCATCTTTCTTTCATCGTTCAGATTTTCTCAGCCCAGACTCAGTTTACATTAAGTTTCATCAAACTTTTACCACCACCCTCTTGTTTCTGTATGTCTCTTGCATGTCTTCCAACCCACCAGCCATGGGAACCACATTCCCCCCAGAAGGAGTTCCACACCTACCTGGGTCCGGTTTGCTGGAACCCGGAACACCGTGCTGGCTTCTGAATGTCTCCTGAAGGCACCTGAAGCAATGTCCTAAATGCCTTTAGGAGCTTGGCACCTCAGCTCCACTCCGTGGCACCTGGTCTGTCTCCTGGGCCACAGAAGGATGTGAGAGGCCAATGAGAAGCCGGCACCGGTGCAGAGAGCAGCTGTCAGGTCGAGCCTGGTCTGCACTCCCCGGGGGGGCCCCCTTGCAGGCAGCCGGGCAGCCTTTATACCCCTTCTCTAAATGCGCATCCTCAGAAAACCATGTGGACACTCCCACTGTACTCACAGGATGTTCCGAGGATCCCCTGTCTGTGGCATAACTCCTGGATCACCATGTCTCAGAATGGAGACTTTGTTTTAGGAGTGCGAGAAAGCCAAGGGGCTAGAATGGAAACAAGATTGAGATTAAGTGAAGAAAAGCACCTTTCTAGCAGGACCTTCACTCCTTCAACCACCCAGCAGTGTAACAATCTGAAGATAAACCAGGCTGGTAATGTTGCTGGAAGGAACAGTGTATTAGCTGATTCACCCCCTTGGATCTAATCTATACCTGGATGAATAGTATAGTGTCTACTTAAGTAGAAAGGCTGGAGCACGTGCTAAGCCTGCAGGAAGCTGGGGTTCCATCCTTGTCCTGCAAGGTCCCCCAGGCACTGCTGGAAGTGAAACCCACCTACCCCTGCAAAAAAAAAGCGATAATTGGGTGAAAAGGTTTAGGAATGTGTGCATACATCTGTACCTGAGGGAATATATGCATTGTAAGCAGCTCTTAGGACTTCAATTTTAAAATCTACATCTAAAAGAAAATAAAAGAGTCACTCTATACCTTTATCTTGGAGATGGAAATGTTTGTGCTCTATATTCCGAGGTGTCTGTGACATATATTGTTTTTTTTTCTTTTGTTCTTGATGGCATCATGAACACTAATCTTTTAATGTTGCTGGTCCCTTTTCAGGGTGGACAAGTTTCATTTATACCATATCTGGAAATGTGCACATTGGTAAGTTATGACTATTTTTCTTTGGGTGCAATTGCAGTGTATTTTGAAAGTACAGTGGGTGGAGGGGAGGAACTATAGAATGTTTCATGTAGTTGAGTATTAGAAGTCCTCATGCTTAGCCCTAACCCTTCTCTACATCTCAACGTATGTATCTAGGTATGTTCAGACTCACCTGCCATTTTCCAGCATGTTTGGTGAGGAGAAGATCGTGATGTCCCTTTCTCTTTGGTTGTATGCAGATGGCAGGTTCAGGCACAATTACATATGTTACTCAATGCTAAGGTGTAGGCAGCCTCCATCCAGAGGCACCTGGATATTAGGAAAGTCTCTATAGTATTCACTGGTGCCCTGCTCACAGTTCTGGGTTCTTTGTCTGCCCTCACTTCCTGATGCCAGTAGTGTGCCTCTTAGCCTGCAGGACTTAGCTATGCCAAAAAGGTACTGCTATCTTTTTACAGTGACAGGGAGGCAATATCACTTCCTGTTGGTGATGTAAAGCATATTGGGTGATTGTGTATGTATTTTGTAAAATATTCTAGATAGGGGCCAGAATGATAGTATAGTGGGGAGGGCACTTGCCTTGCACACAACCAATCTGGGTTTGATCCCCAGCACCACCAGGAGTGATTCCAGAGTAGAGCCAGGACTAAGTCCTGAGCACCTCTGGATGTGGCCCAAAAAAGGGTAAATATTCTAAAAATTAAAATATATATATGTAACTATGTAACTTGCTGATTTAGCACACAGAGAAATTCTCTTTAGCCTTCTGATCTCATTTAAATAGGATTTCTGTATATTAGTGTTTATAGACTTTTCCTGGAGTTTCCCCATGGGATTATGCACTTGATATTTAACCCTTGGTTGTCTGCCTTCCCACTCCTATCTACCTTCCTTAACCAACTGCTCCATTGATGCTGAATCCTGGGATCATCTTCCACATAAACTCTGTGCAGTTAAGTTTGCATTTCTGTGCTTTCGAGATAGCCTATAGAGAACCAGCCTCCCCTCATTCCTGTTCTGCTCTTCATGAGCAATAATGTAAGTACAGCGAGAGGGCTGCAGACTCAGAATACCATTTTTCAGGCCCTCTGGGGTTGGGTGCTTTCCAGACCTCCTATGAGCAGTGAACTTCCTGGGGTTCAAACATGGCTCCCCGCTTAGCCATTCACTCCAGTCCCAAACAGCTGGCTTACTGATAACATCTGTTGAGGTTCAAAGGCTACACTCAAAGCTATTTAAACCATTCTTCGTATTCTCCAAAAGGGAACTTCAGTTGCCTAAAAATATTCTTCTGGAAAATAATGGTAAAACAGACCCATGCATTTTGATTTCATGCAGTAAAAATGGGCTTAGTTCCTCTTTTATTGCAGACCGATTCATTTATGAATCAGAAGCAAAATTTATTTTAACATTTGAGAAAATATGAAAAAATGTCATGGTATTTTTATGCAAAACACTATGAAGGGTTCTCAGAAAATATAGTTACCATATGACCTAGTGATTAGATTTTTGGTATCTACCCCAAGAACATAAAAACAGTAATTCAAAAGATATATGCATACCTGTGTTCATTGCAGCACTAAATACAATAACCAGGATATGGAAAGAACCCAAATATCCAACAGCAAATAAATGAATAAAACAGCCATGGTATATATACATGTTGGCTGCGCGCAAGGCAAACGCCCTACCGCTGTGCTATCGCTCTAGCCATACATAACGGAATTTACTTGTCTAAAAGAAAACATAAAATCTTGCGTTTTGCTACAGTTAGATGGAACTCAGTGTAGTCATGTTAAATGAAATAAATCTGAAGGAGAAAGACAAACACTGGACTCATCCGTGATATCTAAAGAGGCAAGGAAGTCCAGAGACATTACAGGAGGTAGGGCACTTGCTTTGAATGCAGCCAACCTCTTTTCAGTTCCTGGTACCACATATGGTCCCCGGAACACCACCAAGGGTCACTCCAGAGACAGGAATAGCTCCTTGGCATTCAAATAAAATAAAATTGAGAAAAATAAAGAAACATCCTACAGTGCTTTCAAGAACAAGATGAAATGGTTAGGGCATTTGCCTTGTTCATCCAGAGCTAGGTTATAGAAACTTCAGACAATTGCCAAAAGGGGTGGGGGGAGGGACAAAGGGAATAGACAAGGTTCAGTGAAAATAAAGCCTTGGACTCTGACATCAGAACCAGGTGGAAGTGGGCTGGTGGTCAGAAAACGAGGTGGACGGAAAGAGACCTTGGAACATTGGTAGTAGAGGACTTTTAGTACTTCGATGGTGGCAGTAGTGGTGTAGAGAACTTTGTACAAAAGCATATACAGGGGTCAGAGCAATAGTACAGCGAGTAGGGAGCTTGCCGTGCATGTGGCCGACCTGGGTGCGACCCCCGGCATCCAACATGACCCTCCCCCAAGCACCACCAGCAGTGATTCCTGAGCGCAGAGCCAGGAAGAACCCCTAACCATCGCTGGGTGTGACCCAAAAAGCAAAAAAAAAATCATATACATTAACGCTATTGTGAACTCTGTTACCTCAATGATAATAAAACAAAAATTGAAACATAATAGTATCACAAGTCAGTGTGTACACACATTCAATTGCTTTAACCATTTGGAAGAAATAAGACATCATTTGCTTTATGATCTTTTGAGAATCTTGAGCACATAGTATTTTATAGCAAAGGAAAGTTAAAAACCATCTTTTGGGGGGTAGTACCCCTGATTTATGATTTCAGGAGAAACAGAATAATCTGCACAAATGGAAAACTAGGAAATCATTTTTTTTTCTTTTTTGGTTGCATCCAGCGATGTACAGGGGTTACTCTTGGTTCTGCACATAGATATTATTCCTGGCAGTGCTCAGGGGACCATATGGGATGATGGGATGCTGGGAATCAAATCCTGGTTGGCTGCATGCAAGGCAAATGCCCTACTTGCTGTGCTATCACTCCAGCCTCGAAAACTAGGAAATCTTAAAGTGGCAAGGATGCCAGACACTTTGTGCAGAATGGGCAAAGGTAAGAGAGGCACAATTTCCATGAAGGGTCGGAGAGCCAAGCTTCTCATCACTTTGGACCACAGGGCAGCTCTTCCAATAAGAAAATTGACTGATGGCACTGACTGGTGGGTTTCATATATTTTTCATGTTTACAAATATAGAAACCTTTCTTAGCTGTGGGCTTCACCGAAAGCTCACATTTGCTTTGGTATTGAACTGGCATTGTAGAGATGAGAGAGGAAAAGAAACGCATCATTTTCAGAACTCTTCATCCATAGTTAGCATGTTACTTCCTAGTGGACTTCAGTCCCACAATTGCAAAGGGTAAAATCTCAAGCTTTGAAGGTCACGAATGACTCCCGCATCCACCAGTGTACCTGCAAGCGAGGCAGGTCCTCAACCATCTCTACTCATGGGCCTGGTCCCCTCTTACGTGCATGAGCCATGGATCACCATTGTCAAACATCAAGCAGGAAATGGGGTCACAGATCAAGGTGGCATCTGTGCAGAGTAAACTGGGGATGGAGAGAGTCCAATTCCCCAAATTGACTCCTTGACTGACTACATGACCTCATTGGAATTTTATCTCTTTCCCTCGCTGTTCCCAACCCCCCCTAATCAAGATGTTACTAAGAAAAGTGAAAGGGCAAGAAAACAACCAACAGAGAAAAAGAAATGACAAAGCAGGAAGAGCTATTATATATATACATATATATATAGTTATTATATATATAGACATCTAAAACCCATAAACAGAACTCAGAAAATATTTTCTGACTTAACTGCCTGTAGTGTATCTTGCATGTTGAAATCATGATAGCACCAGCCCACCAGAGATGGCAAAAACTTATCAGCAAAAAAAAATGTCTTTTTCAAAATATTAAGCATTCCCATTTTCACATACACACACACATACACACACACAAGGATACTGGAATAAATGGGTCGGCCAGCCACATGCAAGGCAAATGCCTTACCCCTGTGCTATTGCTCTGGCTCCCGATACTGGAATAAATGGACAGAAGTTTGGGTTAAATAAGTAATCTGCAGAGAGCTCATACAATGCAGATTTAGGAGGACTATTACTGGGTACAGGATTATTTATTCAGGGAGTTGAAATAAATGAGTAATAGTAGATTGAGTTTGAGTATATTCTGGTGGATTGCTTTTGGTTTTCAGCCACATCCAGCTATGCTCGGGGCTTTCTCCTGGTTCTGTGTTCAGGGAACCATGTGGGATGCTGGGGATTAAAACCCAGTTGGCCTCTTACAAGGCAAACGCCGTACCTGCTGTACTAGCTCTCCAGCCTTAAGGTGGAATTTTGAACATTAGAAAGTGCTGGACTAGTTACTCAGACCTTTAAAGTCAACTTGAGGGGCTGGAGCAATAGCACTGTGAGTAGGGTGTTTGCCTTGCATGCAACCGACCCAGGTTCGATTCCCAGCATCCCCATATGGTCCCCTGAGCACTGCCAGGGGTAATTCCTGAGTGCAGAGCCAGGAGTAACCCCTGAGCATCACCGAGTGTGACCCAAAAAGCAAAATAATAATAATAATAATAATAATAATAAAGTCCAATTTGAGTAGAGCAAAGCTATATAATTACTTTCTAGCAGCACTCTGAAGAAAAGAGGGGATTAACGGAATTAAAAAATAATAGAAATACTACTCTTTATTTTTAAAAACTACATGAGGTTTGCTCTTTCAAGCGTGTGTTCTCTCTTGAATATGTATTAATCTCTCTCCAAGGTTTTTTCCACTCTGAAGAAGCCTGTGTTCTCTCTTTTTGCTCTTTCTCCTCAAATCTTTCTAAGTAAATTTCTTTCAATAAAAACAATCTTAGGCTGGAGTGATAGCACAGCAGGTAGAGCGTTTGCCTTGCATGCGGCCAACCCGGGTTCGATTCCCAGCATCCCATATGGTCCCCTGAACACCGCCAGGAGTAATTTCTGAGTTCAGAGCCAGGAGTAACCCCTGTGCATTGCCAGGTGTGACCCAAAAAGCAAAAACAAAAAAAAAAATCAACAATCTTGCTTCACACACCAAAAAAGTATTTGAGACTTTTTTTTTGTTTTTCAAGGTTCTTATTAATCATTAATGTATAAAAGCCTAAACTGTTCAATGTTAGCTTTAAAATTTGTGTAGGAGGTATGGGGGAAAGATCATTAACAGTAATCTTCCTCCCTTTTTTGGTACCAGAGATCTAACCCAGGACCTCACATATGTGAGACGTGAGTCAAAATATTTTTTCACTGAAGCAAGTCCTTCTCTCACCCATCAGCTGAAATCTATGCAGTGTCATTTAAAAGAAAAAAGAAACAGTAGATCCAAGGATACCGAGATCTAAACTCTGAACTCCTTCTCTACTGCCGAAATGAAAATGATATAACACATTAACACAAAGATCAAAGGGATAGAAGAGTTTGGCCCTAATCCCAAAGCAAGGAACCACTTTTCAGCTTGGTTGCCAGTCCCCTAGAAGGACCAGTATCAAAAATACTTTTGGGGCTTAGAAAATATATTTAGAAATCTAACACTATTGGCCTGCAGTTATTGAAGTTGATAGTTCAGTGAAATGAGCAGTTAAAGGATTCAAACTTATTTCAAACATTATGCCTGCTTAGCCTATGCTCAGCCCTTTGCTTCTGTTCTCGGTGGCATTAAGTTTGGCATCAAATCTGGAATGAACAGCAAAAGTGGGGAGCACCCTGGAAGTCCTCATGTTCACCTTCATGTATTTCAAATAATGATTAACCAGGCGCTTCATCTTCATTCCATGCCCATTGCGGTGAGGCATCTGGGCCTTCAAGATGGTCCCCTCCCCTGGTCCCCCTGCTCATTGCTCCTCCCTCCAGTTCAGAGGGAAACGACTCAGACTCTCAAATCTGCAATGCCTTTTGCAACAAGTAAAGGCTGTCTCATGATTTAATTCGTCCAATTGCTAAAGAAAGCCCTTTGAACTATTACGGGAGAGATGACTGAAGTGAAGAGGTCCTCTAGAAGGATGTCAGCAGTACAGGGACATCACTAATGATTCAATCACAGGCCTATCTTGACTGCATTTCTCAAAATTAGCTAAGGAGGGCATGTGTGTGCTTTAATTTAAAATACAATGTTGGGGCTGGAGCAATAGCACAGCGGGTAGTGCATTTGCTTTGCATGCGGCCAACTTGGGTTCGATTCTCAGCATCTCATATGATCCCCTGAACACCACCAGGAGTAATTCCCGAGTGCATGAGCCAGGAGTGACCCCAGTGCATTGCCGGGTATGACCCAAAAAAAACAATCAGAGGCCTATCTTGACTGCATTTCTCAAAATTGGCTAACAAGCGCATGTCTGTGCTTTAATTTAAAGTACAATGTTGTGGCGGTTTATCTTTTTCAGTGAATAGCCTTGGCGAAATAAGAGGGTTTCCATTGTGCACAGAGAATGAATGCTATCAAAATCTGTGATAGAAATTCTGGAATGGGTGCAGCATAGAATAAGTGGGACAGCAGTTCTCGTGAAGAGAAGAAAAATGAAAAAAAAAAACCCAATCTGGCATATGGGGAAAAGGTGCCCAGCGATTAATCACCCCCTGAAAATGCAGCACAACTTTAAAGTATGTTTTCAAGTATTTTGCCCTTTTCCGACTGTTTAGGACAAACAAAAATATTTGCAATTCAATTGTTTTCAGTTAAATTTTCCTTAACTGCACTATTAGATTTAACATTCTTGGCGAAGCTTCTCAATGGAAACTATTTATTATCTGATTTGGCTCTATCTATAATTGAAAGTAGTCAGAAATAATAAAATATATTTTCTTTGAGACTTATTTTAGGTTCAGGAGATAACCAGATGGGTGAAATAGCACAGATATGATATGAAGATAGACTGAGCCTTTGATTTCTGTGAACCTGTTTTAAACATGTCACAAAAATAATACGGAAGCTGAGGGTACACTTAGAATGATTAACCTGGAAAGCTGAACCCAGCGTCCGTCTGCGGGAAAGCCTGCCTTAGACCACGGCCTGCTGCAAATGACCTCTGCAGTAGCAGCTCTGTGAACGCTCTCCTAGATCAACGAGAACAACGGGCAGAAGTTGCATTCCATATAAAGTTCAGAGAGCTCTTAGGAAGACAAGAACCTGTTTCTAAATGAAAGTCTCCTCACAGACCAGTGAACATCACAGTCAAATAAGCTATCCCAATAGTAGATGGAGAGAAATCCCAACTCGGCATTATCTTGGAGAATTGACCTTTGCCAACTCACTCCCTTAAAACCTAAGGGCCGCAGAGGAGGGGGGAGGGGGGATGGGGGAGACGGATGGGGGGGAGGGATGCTGGGAACATTGGTGGTGGATAATGGACACTGGTGGAGGGATGGGTACTTATCATTGTATGACTGAAATATAAGCATGAAAGTTTGTAAGCCTGTAACTGTACCTCACGGTGATTCATTAAAATTAGTTAATTAATTAATTTTAAAAACAAGAGAAAGGGCTTTATAAACTGTTTTTGTCTATGTATCATGAAACATCTTATTTGATAAAACTCGGACCCAGGAGTGCGCTACATAGATAATGGTTGATATATGTCTATGTGTTACTTGAAGTTCAAGACATGGTTCATAGCAAACACACTTATTTATGTGTGGTACCAGGGACTCAACCCAGGACCTCATGCATGTAAGGCATGAGTTTTACCAGTGACCCACATCCTCTGTCCCTATAAAGCTCGCTTAACAAAAGGTTTTTCCATATCACAGTTAAAAATATTTCCCTGGGGCTGGAGTGATAGCACAGCAGGTAGGGCATTTGCCTTGCACGCGGCCGACCCGGGTTCGATTCCTAGCATCCCATATGGTCCCCTGAGCACGCCAGGGGTAATTCCTGAGTGCAGAGCCAGGAGTAACCCCTGTGTATCACCGGGTGTGACCCAACAAGCAAAAAAAAAATATTACCCAGCTCCAAGTGATATTATCCGTAGCCTCTTAGCCACTTCTTATCAACAAGTCCTTACACGAGTAGAAAAATGATAGAGTTCTGGGACTAGAGCGAGAGCACAGCGGGTAGGGCATTTGTCTTGCATGCAGCCAACTCGGGGTTGATTCCCAGCATTCCATATGATCCTCTGAGCACCGCCAGGAGTAATTCCTGAGTAAAGAGCCAGGAGTAACCCCTGTGCGTCACCAGGTTTGACCCAAAAAAAAAGTTAAAAGAAAAGAAAAAACAGAGTTCTATCACTCACGTCTGTGACATTTGTTGAGTTAAATCACAGATGGGAAGGTAGTCTCCAGTGCTGTGCTAGGAATCACTCTTGCTAGTTCCTGGAGTCAGTGGGGCACCCTTATCCAACTTCACATTAGTTGCTTGAAATTTGTCATAGTCGGTACATTTATAGCACAGAAATTGGCACACACTACAATTAAATTTGTTTTCCCCCTTATCCCTCAAATCCTGTTCTTATCATCATGTAATCAGCGTGCCCATACCTCTCAGACAGATGTTCTCATTTCTTTGGGGTTTTAAAATTATTTTGTGGTCACATCCAGCGATGTTCAGGATTCCTGGCTCTACACTCAGGAATCACTTCCGGCAGTCCTCGGGGCACCATATGGGGTTCTGGGGATCCAATCTGGGTTGGCCTTGTGCAAGGCAAGCACCCTACCTACTGAGCTATCTCTCAAGTCCCTGGGACAGAGGTTCTTTGTGTATATGTGGGATGTGGGGGTACCAGGTGCTCTTTTAACATTTGTTCATTGCATTTCTCTCCTGCACAATATTTCTTAATTCAATAAAGTCAGTAACATGTTAAAAGAATAAGTTTATTGGGGCCAGAGCAATAGTACAATGGGTAAGGTAGGAAGCTTTTCCTTGCACATAGCTGGCCTTTGTTCAATCCCTAGTGTCACATATAGTCCTGCTCACAGTACTGTTAAGGGTGATTCCTGAGCACAGAGCTAGGTCCTGGGGTCACAACACAGGGTGTGACCCCAGGACCAAAAAAAGAACAAGTTCATGGAATAGTTATATGTTTGTATTTCTGAAGACATTTGGAATAATAGGATAAAGCAGCAGGCTTTCTCTGAATTCTAAATAATGATTATCATAAACTGTATTCAAAAGTATCTCCAACTCAGTCATATTATACAAAATAAGTGATTTCTCCTGGAAGACCGAGTCACTGATCCAAACTGAAAATCCTGTGGTTTGTTGGCTACATTTCATGACTGGAGGAAGTGTGCTTTTCCGTTTGTATTTTCTTTTATATTTTCTCATATAACCTATGAGGCATGGCATTAAGGGAACCACAATGCAGGATTCACTTTCTTATTCTTTCCTACCATCAGAAACAGCCTGTTTACAGCTTCAGTAATTGCAGATAGAATCGCTAAGACTTTAGGAGTTACCCAAGTGTATGTACAGAATTGATATTATCATTACCTTGCTACCTAGCTAACCACTTCTGTACCCATAGACATATGTGCTGTCATGAGTATTGAACTGAGCGGGCCATCATTTTTGCAGGACCTGACCAGGCACAGCAGAAAATAGAACCTCATCACACAGCCGTGCTGGGAGAAGGTAGCATTGTCCAGGTGGAAAACAAGGTAATTATCAAACATCTTTTATTTTCTTATGCTTTCCACTCATTTCTGTGCAAAGGTCTAAATCTGTCGAGCTGGAAATTGTTCTCTCTTCTCTTGTGAAAGACAAGTGTATTAGCCCCTGTCATGTTGACTGGCTTGATTATTTGTTTTTGGACAGATTCCTCATGTCCAGGAACTATCTCCAATCCCTATCATTTACCCTGAATAGTTGAATCTGGATGCATGCATGTCACTTGTCTCTAAATTCTCTTTATCGGGTTGATTTATTTCATTTTTTAATATGAGAGAAAATGGACAGGTTCTCTAGGAATATAATGTGTGCTGTGCATATATGCTCATGTAGAAACTTTGAAAGTAACCCTCATTTTGAAACGAGAGGAGCATATCTTGGGTTTTATAGACACTGATGTTGAATGTTGATGTTGAATGTTTGCTTTGTGAGTAATGTTTTAGTAGTCTGAGGAGGTTTTTATTCCAGATCACCATATTTCTTCCCTCTGCCTGTTCCCTTGAGTGCTCTCCTGGCCAGTCTGACTGCTGTGTGTCAATGTAAATAAGGAGAATTGCAGAGACAATTGTGCAATAGCTAGCTGAACAAAGAACATTGGAAAAGTGAGGCTGAAAATGTTTTCAGGATTTCAGATTTCTGACAGACATCTAGCCTTCTGGCCCCGGTGCTGTGGAATACCCTGGCTTTGAGGAATTATTGTGGCCGAGGACACTTTCTTGGAAGCTCGCCAGCTGCTGTTTTCATCATCTGTGTGAACTGAGAGGGTTCTAGAAGAAAACCACAGTAGCATCAGAGAAATGCCTATGTCGACTTCCATAGCAACCTGAGAGACCCAACCTCCACATCAGGTTTAATGTGATCTAACATTAGGTTGAGTAGGACTCTGCCACTTGTGACTGATCAAAGTGGCAATTTTCTCTGTTTCAACCCAAAGTTAAAGGCACAACAGAAGGATCACAGAGGCCAGACCCTTCCGATAAAGCTTTCATTTGTTGCATTATCTGGTATAATTTGGCAGCCTCGGCTCTTTCTATAATGATAGTTGGAGAGCACACTGCAAATGCGACAAATTTGAAAGCTCATCTGGAACACCAAGAAGAAGTGATGAGAGGAGCCAGAAAGATAGGAGACAGCTGGCTAGGAAAGAGGTGCTGAGACCCTTGACAGGTCATTGGCAGACAGTGCTCTCAGCTACAGGGGCTTCATTCTCTGCATGCTATCCTATAAAGATCACGCCTGTAAAGATTGCTGTGTTAAAGCAGAGCAGAGAAGTAGAATTTGGTGAAAGCATTTTTCCTATTAGCATTTAAATGGGCCTGTCTCACTTCAATCCACTTCCTACAGACTTTACAACAAAGGATCATGAAGATGTGAAGCTTCACTTTGTCTCTTGTTACCTAGCTCGGACAGTTCTGAGTCTCTCTGAACTTTAGTTTCGGTGTGAGCACAATAGACATGATGCTCCCCACCGCCTGAGGTCGTCAGAAATATATTGAGATGAATTTTGTGTGTCAGCAGTCATTTCTAGATAGAGCCAGGAATTTTGTTCAGGAGGCTAAATTCCATCCTGTCTCTGTCACTAGAGTTTTGCTGGGCCCCCATGACACTTGGTCCATCTCTGGATGTTTTTATGTCACAAAATCGTAGATCCAGAACAGCTGTCGCTACATTACTTGTGAGAAACCCTGTGAAGTGAAGACGTAAAAAGAGCCAGAGAAGATGTCCACTGCAGGAATGCCGAGCCTCCAAAGGGAAACAGATGGGAAAGTTCTCGAATAAGTTCTGCCATACTGCCACTCAGGGACTGGGCTGGGACTCTTTTTTTTGTTTTTGTTTTTAGGGTCACACTTGGCAATGCACAGGGGCTACTACTGGCTCTTCACCCAGGAATTACACCTGGCAGTGCTCAGGGGACTATATGGGATGCTGGGAATCGAACCCAGGTCGGCCGCATGCAAGGCAATTGCCCTACCCACTGTGCTTTCGCTCCAGCCCCAAGGGCTGGGACTCTTTCTATCTGTGGGCAGGGTCTGTAGGCAGGAAGAAGCCCTGGATGAAGCAGGAAGGAAAATGCTAACATGTTGGAACCTCTTGAGTTAGCAGGTTCCAGATCAATTAGATAACCAGAGCACAAACCATCACATACAAATATATCAGAGGGAAGATATTCTTTGCCTCCGACAAAAATATTCCCAACTGAAATCAGAGCACCAATTTCCAGTCTGTCAATGTATTAAGAAGTTTATGTATGTATAATGTGGATGAAGATAGAACTCTCACAGTTAAAAACACGTTGGCTACTTAAATTTGTAAAGCATCGTATGTAAAGAAGATTAAATACTTTTAAACCCAAAATGCCTTTGACTATAAAATGCTTCACCAAGCACAATTTTTTTTTGCTTTTTTGGGTCACACTTGGCCTTGCACAGGGGTTACACCTGGCTCATTTACTCAGGAATTACTCCTGGCGGTGCTTGGGGGACCATATGGGATGCTGGGAATTGAACCCGGCTTGGCTGCGTGCAAGGCAAACACCCTACCTGCTGTGCTATCACTCCAGCCCCCCAAGCACAAATTTTATTTTGTTTGTTTGGTTTTTTTTTTTTTTTTTTGCTTTTTGAGTCACACCCAGCAATGCACAGAGGTTACTCCTGGTTCATGCACTCACAAATTACTCCTGGCCATGCTCGGGGAACCATATGGGATGCTGGGGATCTAACCCAAGTCAGACCACATGCAAGGCAAACGCCCTAACCGCTGTGCTATCACTCCAGCGCCCCCCAAGCACAAATTTTATTTTTTAAATTTTTTTCCAAGCACAAATTTTAAAAGCAAAAACATATTGTTCCTTTTTAAATTTTAAACTTAGTATATACTTATTGTAACAAAAAGAGAAAAACATAAAGAAAAAAAGAAAATTCTCTTTCTGGGCTGGAGCGATAGCACAGCGGGTAGGGCGTCTGCCTTGCACGCAGCCAACATGGCCGACCCGAGTTCGATTCCTCTGCCCCTCTCGGAGAGCCCGGCAAGCTACCGAGAGTATTCGATATGCCAGACACAGTAACAACAAAGTCTCCAATGGAGACGTTACTGGGCCCGCTCGAGCAAATCGATGATCTCTTTCTAATTACTTAGAAATAACCAATGCTAGCATTTTGTTGTGTTTCTTCCATGATTTTTTTCAGTATGTGGTTTTGTGATTTAACTAAAATTTAGAATCACACTGTACGCAGTCTTACAACATTAGAAAAATTTGGAAACTGCATTCTGAACATTTTATTGCAGATTCAAAGGGTTGAGAAAAAAATTTCTTGGCCATATGATATGTCATTTCATAAACATATCATAATGATGTATCTAACACCTCATTGTTGGAATACTTCTTCAGGAGTAGGGGAGATAGCTACAGGGCTAGAATGCATGCTTTTCCGACTTGTCCTTCACGCCCTACCAAGGTCACAAGCCCCCCATGAGCGGCTCTCCAGCACAGCCATAACACCAGACGCACAGAAACCAATCATGTAATTATCTGGCTCTTTTCAGAAATCCAAAATCATTATATGATTCTTATAACCAGCTATAGAAAACAAAGTATTTCACAATGCCTTTTCAGCAATTCTTACTATTGGGGGGGAAATTCTAAACAATATTGGTGCATCTTTTGTCGAAATAATGAATGTAATCAATGTAGAGAAGAGTTAAGTGGAAATCATCTGCCTCACAGGCATTGGGAGGGGTGACAGGGGGGTTATATTGGGGTTCTTGGTGGTGAAAAATGAGTACTGGTGAAGGGAAAGGTGTTTGCTCATTGTACGATCGAGACTTAAACCTGAAAGCTAAGTAACTTTTCCCACAGTGATTCAATAAATAAATATAAGAAGAAAAATAAATAAATAAAACTATGGAAAAAAAAAGTAAGGTGGAGTTCATGCCCAAAACAATCAGCTAATCAGTGGCTGAATAAATAGCAGAACTCCTACATATATATATAAAAAAAAGCATGCTTTTTATTCAAAAGCCCTGGGTTCCATCCCCAGAACTACACTGGGCCCCCAAGGACCTTCAGGTGTATCCCCCATAGTACTACGGTATTGCCAATGTGAAACTGATTATTCCCTCACACAATATTCCCAAAATTGGCATTGTGGGATTAGGGGACATCAATCATATTGGGGATTTGCATTCATATAATCAAAGTGCTCTCTACAAGGATTGCATTGCCAATTTTAAAATCTTTGGGAAGGGACTGAAGCGATAGCACATTTGCCTTGCACGGGGCCAACCCAGGTTCGATTCCCAGCATCCCTACAATCCCCCCAAGCACTGCCAGGAGTGATTCTGAGTGCAGAGGTAGAAGGAATCCCTATTCATCACTGGGTAGCACTGTAACACTGCTCTTTCTTTGTTCATCGGTTTTCTGGAGCGGGCACCAGTAATGTCTCCATTGTGAGACTTGTTACTGTTTTTGGCATATCGAATATGCCACGAGGAGCTTGCCAGACTCTGCCGTGCAGGCATGATACTCTCGGTAGCTTGCTGGGCTCTCCAAGAGGGACAGAGGAATCGAACCCGGGTCGGCCACTTGCAAAGCAAACGCCCTACCTGCTGTGCTATCGCTCCAGCCCTATCCCATCACCAGGTATGATCCTAAAAGCAAAAAAAAAAATCTCTGGAAAGGAGGCCGGAGAGATAGTACATTGGGTAGGACATCTGCCTTGCATGCAGCTGACCCAGGTTTGATTCCCAGCATCCCATATTGTCCCCTGAGCATCACCAGGAACAGCCCTGAACATAGCCAGGTGTGACCCAAAGACAAAAACAATCACAATCACGACCATCCTGTTATTCGTCGATTGCCTCTAGCAGGCCCCAGTAACGTCTCCTTTGTCCTAGCCCTGAGATTTTTAAAAAAGTGCCATATTCAAGGCTCTTTCAGAGTTAGGAGAATGAGACCCATCATTGTTACTGGTATTTGGCATATTGGGTATGCCACGGGGAGTTTGCCAGACTCTGCTGTGCGGGCAGGTTACATTCGGTAGCCTGCCAGTTTGTCCAAAGTAGGAATGAGATAATAAGATGTTTCCGGGAGTTGGGTTTTATAGTCTCTGAGTCTTGGCCATTGATGGGATTACATGGCGCCAGGGGGCCAGTTGGTGGGTGTGACCCCACCTACTGGAATTTGGAGGATCTGGGTGGAGGATGCTCAGCCCCGATCCGAGTAGGCTTGGAGATCTCAGTCCCAGGACCCACATGCCTCTGTTCCTCTGCCAGTACCTTCATGTGTGCGGAGAGTGGTCTCAGCATGGTGGTGGCTGGTTCTGGAGGTCTTTGGCTGCAGGAGCCCTGGTCGGGGCGGGGAGGAAACTCAACCCGCTCCCCTCCAAGGAGCCCCAGCGAGGACAGCCAGGCGCGGGGGCAGGAGACTCTGCGCTGTTCTCTTGCGGGAGCTGGGTTTTATAGTCTCTGAGTCAAAAGACAAAAGTCAAAAGACAAAAACAAAAACAAAAAACAAAAACAAACAAAACAAAACCAGAAAAAAAAACTCGCTAAAATCTCTGGGAAGATGGTATATAAATAAATCTTTCCCAGGCTAGGGAGATAGTTGCAGTGGTCAAACACATGACAAGCATATGCGAAGCCCTGAGTTCGATCCCTGGCACTTTGTGCACCTGGGGGTGGCCCCAGCACTGCCAGGTGTGACACCTAATTTTAAAAATCTGCTTTTCCACCAGGAGGATTACTCCATAGCTTAGTGGCCAGTCGGGCATTCTAGAGGAAAGGGCAGCTCAGATAGAGAAGGGAACACCAAATAAAGGGTGTTTGGAGGATCCTCCCAGGAGGGGAGATGCATGTCGAAAGTAGACTATGGACTGAACATGTTTGCCACTCAATGCCTCTTTTGCAGACCACAACACCCAAAAGGAGAGAGAGAACATAGGGGATTGCCCTGCCACAGAGGCAGGGGGGGATGGGGGGATGGGGGTTGGGGGGATATTATCCATGGTGGTGGAAAATGGGCACTGGTGGAGGGATGGGTATCTGATCATTGTATAATCAAACCCAAGCACAAAAAATTGTAAATCTACAACTGTACCTCATGGTGTTTCACTAATAAAAAAAGAAAAATTTAAAAAAAATCTGCTTTTCCCATACCCACATGGAATATTGAATGCCATGATTAAAGTGTTTGAATTTCAGAGGCTGAAGACAGAGTACAGCGAGTAAAGTACTTGCCTTGCATGTAGCCATCCCAAGTTAGGTCCCCACCATCCCATAATGTCCCCTGAGCACTGAGCCAGGAGTAAGACCTGAGCACCTCTGAGTGTGGCCCCAAAACAAACAAAAAAACTTTATTTCATTTTCTGGGAAAAGGCTCCTCTGAATTCTAAGCAAAAACGTTCATAAATGTTAACATAACAGGACCCTTTTAGACAGGAATTTGCCTTAGCAGATGTTCTTCAGATGTTTTTGGAAGGTCCCATATAGTGTAACATGTCTGGAACATACTTTACACCAATAGTCATAAATGTCAGAAGTAACAAAATTGTACTTTTAGGCTTCCGTAACTGATTTTGCATTTTAAAAAAGTAGATTGCTAGTGGGAAGCTATAAACCCTCTAATAAGCCAAGCCAATTACATAGCTAGTCTTAATGATGTCTCCAATTAAAGAAAATCTTTAAATTTCCCCTTCTTTGAGAAGGTTAATATTTTGGTGGTCTGGACTTGTTCTTGAGTTCTAATTGCTACTAAAGATCTCAAGAGATAAGCATTTCCATATTGAGTGCTGCACGGAAAATATTTCTGGAATTCACATTCAGATTTAGGAACATTGTCCACTTGGCCAACATGTCAACTTTGTATTGTTCCTATTTTGACATTCCAAAATAAGCATGTTTCTTGTTTGACTCTTTGCTGGCTTTAGGATCCTGAGATAAGCCACTTCGTACTAATTGCCGGGGAGCCAATAAGAGAACCAGTTGTCCAACATGGTAAGCCTCAAATTATGGTGATTTTTCTTTTTCTTTGAAAGTAATGTACTTGCGTAGTATTTGGGAGAAGAATAGCTGGGTTTTTATCCTCTCTCCCTATCTGCAGATTTAAAGATGTTCAATTTCTCTGTGATTAGGAGAATTTCTAAGGAGGGCGGGAGTGATAGCACAGTGGGTAGGGCATTTGCCTTGCATGTGGCCGACCTGGATTCGATTCCTCTGTCCCTCTCAGAGAGCCCGGCAAGCTACCGAGAATATCCCACCTGCACGGCAGAGCCTGGCAGGCTCCCTGTGGCATATTTGAGATGCCAAAAACAGCAACAACAAGTCTCACAATGGAGACGTTACTGGTGCCCACTTGAGCAAATCGCTGAACAATGGGAGTACAGTGCTACAGTGCTATGTTTATCTGACTCTCTTTCTTTTCAAGAAACAGATCCTGAATGGCTATCCTGTATAGGATATTTTGACTTGGAACTATGGGGAAAACAAAAATCATGTTTTTTTTACATTGAGTCCTAGGGGATTTCAACTTAGAAAGGTTTTGTGGGGACTGGTGAAATAATTCAGAGGAATGGACTGTAGGCGTGGCATGCGCGGGCCCCAGGTGTGATGCTTGGTACCACCAGGTACAGCCCCGAACAAACAAGAAAATGAAAATAATAAAGTGGAAAGATTTTGTGGTTTATTGGGGACGTGAATATTTTTTTATCTTTACCAAAGTCAGCAGTGATTTCAAAACTAGTAATCGATTGCCTTTCCCCCACCCAAAGTTTCACATCCACCAATTGGTTGTACTCCAATTCTGGTTAAAAAAGATAAGCATGGAGGCTGGAGAGATAGCACAGTGGGTAGGGTGTTTGCCTTGCACGCGACCGACCCGGGTTCGATTCCCAGCATCCCATATGGTCCCCTGAGCACCGCCAGGAGTAACTCCTGTCCTGAGTGCAGAGCCAGGAGTAACCCCTGTGATGACCCAAAAAGCAAAAAAAAAAAAAAGATAAGCATGAAATCTATGATGATTCTGTAAATTTAATATATCTGCCAGCTTCTACAGAACAAACTTTTGGTCACTTATTTTTGTCTTAGGTTCTTAGCTGTGACTTGTAATCGATTGGTGAAAAATAGAAATTCTTTAGAATATTCCTTTGGAATTTTCTAAAATATTTGAGTCAATCTTTGTATAATATGGCTATACTGGAAGGCAAAGACTTCTGGAATAAACATCAGTAACACTTGTGTATAACGTTGTCTGTTAAATGAAGGCTATCCAAAGGTACCTACAACCCAATTTATGATGTAAAGAAGTGCTTACACATGACACATCTTCACAAGTTCCTGATTTTGGCATGCATTAAAATCTCATTACATTACTTTGCCCAGCATGAATTATCAGATATACTAAATGATCTCAGAAAAAAATTCAAGTTGACCATCCCTTTAGAGAACTCTGATTTTTAAACCATAATCATTTTTGTTCTACTATAACTGAAAGGAAAAGCATTAAATCATACCCTGCCTAGGCTATAGCATTCAACCTCACTTAATTAAATAACACCAAAGGGTTAGAGGAATAGTACAGTGGGTAGAGCATTTGCCTTGCATGTGGCCAACCCTGGTTCGATCCCCAGCAATCCATATGCCCCCACCTCTACCCCGAGCTCTCCAGGAGCAATTTCTGAACACAGAGCAAGGAGTAACCCTTGAGCATAGGTGGGTGTGGCCCAAAAACCTAAAGCAAAAACAAAAGACACCAAAGTAGTCTGTTCTGTAGAAACCTGCAGACACATTGAGTAGTGGATAGGGCGTTTATTTGCCTTGCATGCGGCCGAACCGGGTTTGATTCCTCTGTCCCTCTCAGAGAGCCCGGCAAGCTACCAAGAGTATCCCACCTGCACAGCAGAGCCTGGCAAGCTCCCCGTGGCATATTCGATATGCCAAAAACAGTAACAACAAGTCTCACAATGGAGACGTTACTGGTGCCCGCTCAAGCAAATCAATGAACAACGGGAGGACAGTCTGCAGTGCTAATCTTTATTAACAGCAACTATAACTTTAAAGAATCATCACATGACTTTCCCCCCCCCCCCAAATTGAATTGTGGCCAGTTGGTGGATATGAAACTTTGAAAAATCTTTGCTAGTATGACTTGAAAATCATTTATTGTTAGGGCCGGAGCCATAGTACAATGGGTAGGATGCTTGCCTTGCATGTGGTCATCTGAGTTCAAGTCCCCAGCATCTCATATGGTCCCCACCAAACACCACCAGAAGTGATCTCTGAACTCAGAGCCAGGAGTAAGTTTGAGCACCACTACCGGATGTGACTCCCAAACAAAAACAAATTTATTTATTTATTTATAGCTGAATTGTCTTTGGGGCACCATTAGAATGCACAGAATACCCAAGAATATACATTAAAACGTGCTGATGATTATGCAATAAAATATAGTAAATGGGAAGGGGGTGAAAATCTTTTAGGTTTAAGCAATTACTGCGATGATATGAAAAGGGTGCTGGAGGTAAGCTGTTTGCCTTGCATGTAACTCACCCCGGTAAGATTCACAGCACCATCTATGGTCCCCCAAGCAATGCCAGTACTCACTTCTGAGAAATGAAAAAATTTGGGAGAGGGAGAGAGGATGGACTCCAGAAAATACATCACTTTTGTAGAGGTACGTAAAAGTATCATTGCCATCCAGAGCTGTTCTGACTGTCTTTTTCATCCTAGGTCCATTTGTGATGAACACCAATGAGGAGATTTCTCAGGCTATTCTTGATTTCAGAAATGCCAAAAATGGGTTTGAACGTGCCAAAACCTGGAAGTCAAAGATTGGAAACCAGTGAAAGGCACAGGAGCAGGTGCTTCTCCCTGGAGGAATTTGGCGATTTACAGCATCCAATATGCAAACACATCCCCTTTCCCATGCTGATCTAGTTATGCTTTTAAAGTAACAACTGTTGTTTCATAATAATGTGCATGATGTATTGCCAGGCACAAGAAAATAAACAAATGACGGCTTCTTTAAAACCCAGTGCTCTTCATTTCGGCCTAAGTCACTAAGTCACTGTTGGGAAAATCATTTTGTGTGCACTTGTGTTTTCAGGGCTGGAGCGATAGCACAGCGGTAGGGTATTCGCCTTACAAGCGGCCAACATGGCCGACCCGAGTTCGATTCCTCCGCCCCTCTCGGAGAGCCCGGCAAGCTACCGAGAGTATTCGATATGCCAGACACAGTAACAACAAAGTCTCCAATGGAGACGTTACTGGGCCCGCTCGAGCAAATCGACGATCAACGGGAGGGCCTTTACCTTTGTGTTTTCAGAGGTATATGAGTGTTTTATATGTTTTTCTGCAAGCGTGAGAGTTTGCTTTTATTTTTTTTTAAGAAAAAAGAAATCAGCTCTTTTTTGTTTCTCACTAGCATCTGAGGTCCCTTCCTGGGCAAGGTCCTTTCTTGTAGTCCAGGTCCCGTGGGTTTCACATTACAGGTTATCTGCATGAAAATAACAGCAGTCCTGAGAGCTTGAGTCAGTTTCTCAAACTGCCCTGCTATTGGTAGGGACTCACAGGATCACAGCCAAGACTTCCTTGCATTTCCTGCCAGAATCTGTGTCTGATTTAAGACACATGCTTCTGCAAGCTTCCATGTGGTAGTGAAGTTTGAATCCAGAATTGGGGTCCAGCCTTCTGTGACTGCAAACACTGGTGGCCACACCACTTCCTTCCAAAGCAACTCCAACCTGGGGCGTAGGCTGCAGAGATTTTTTTGGTAATTGGTTGGATAGGAAATGAATTTAGAGTGCTTTCTCATTTCAAGGGGAAGACATGTCCACCTCCTGATTACTTTCGGAGCATGAGAACTTTACTTGTTTTTTTTTTCCTCATCTCTCTTCCGCCACCCCATGAGATTGTGCAAAAATCTACCTTGACTAATTGAAGTTGTTTCATTGGATTTTGATCACAACAGATTATTTGTTTTTTCCATGTGAAGTCTTGGGGTTTCGAACTTGCCTTCTGGAGAATGCCTTTTGAAACCGTTTTCTCTAGCTGCCTGATGTCAACAGCTTGGTAATTAGTGACTTTTTAAAACATTCAAAATGTACAGACAGTGGGCCGTGGTGAATATTTTCATGATGTCTTATCTGCAGTTGGTACAAGGCTCCAGTTATGAACACGGACCAGTGAAGGTAGGTGAGCCCAATTTTTATTGCAATGCGGGTTCCTTTGAACTGGCTTATGCTGAGGACTAAATTTCTCTGCACCCACAATTTCTGAGACCACATGAAAATGCAAAACTCTTTTCATTGTGGGCAGTATCTAGCCTGCATTTGTTAACAGTGTTCTATTTCTTAGGTTTAGTAAGGGTCTTACTGTGCATTTTGGAGAATTCTGGGGAGGGGGGTCTTTTTGAGATGTAATAAAACATGAGTAGTCTAGAAGCTTTACATATGAGGGGAGTTTCTCCTCTGTTGCATATGCAGCTAACACAGTGATTTATAATGAAACCCCCTTCAGACACAGTTAACACTGTGGGCCATTTATTTTCAGGTTGGTTGAGAGCAGTCAACATTAGCTTACTTTGTTTAGATCATTCCGGCTCTAATTACAGAGCTTTCCACAGGCATTTTTGCTCTGGTCCAAATTCCTCTTTGCTACCATGTGCAAAAATGTTTCCTCAGAAGCCACTTTTGTTGTTATATGAATTCTGTCAGACTCAACAGTAATAAAAATCTGTGGGTCTATGAGCAATTATCTCGAGGTCAGTGAGTTGAGAATAGTGCAAAAAAATGAGCTAGGACACACTGACTGCTTTTTTTTTACCCAGCTCTAGGTATTTCATAGGTAATGTTTTCTTCAGCTTTTTATTTTGAAAATGATTCTGATAGAATTGTTTTGACTGCGGTAGTACAACAATCAACCATTATTGATTTAGAAGTTTCTGGCTGTGAACAATCAAATGTGGGTGTGAGTTTTTGTAAGCTCTTGGGATATGTGTTTTCAACTGGGGTGATTGCACCCCCAACCGGGCAAAATTAGCCCTTGTGGGTAGAAAGCTTTGGTTTTGTTATGGCCACAGTATAGAACAAGAGATATACATAGCAGGGGTATAGTACTTGAGGAACACTCCTGTATAGTTTTAATAATGAAGTTTTATCACGGGGAAAATATCTTGCAAAAGGCTGAAGAGTGTGGAGTAATCAACTTACCTTGCAGTCAGCACCTTTCTAAGATTCTAAATATCTAAACTGCAGATAAGACTGGGATAGCCACAGTCCTCAGCTCCAGGACATTGCCACCAGCCTAGTTGTTGGATCATTGTGCACTCAAAACGTAGGTGACTGGGGCTGGAGAGATAGCACAGCGGGTGGGGCGTTTGCCTTGCACGCGGCCGACCCGGGTTCGATTCCCAGCATCCCAGATGGTCCCCTGAGCACTGCCAGGAGTAACTCCTGAGTGCAGAGCCAGGAGTAACCCCTGTGCATTGCCAGGTGTGACCCAAAAAGCAAAAAAAAACCCCAAAAAACGTAGGTGACAGGAGTCGAAATCAGACTTACTGGAAACACCTAAGACTTTTCAGGGTATGTAGCCTTTTCTGAAAATTTGTAGGTCTCAGGAATCCTTTAGATGAAATTTGTTCATAGTTTTTTTTTAATCCCAGGATTTTTTCCATGCATAGAGTTTTAAATGTTTTCCAAATTATTTTGAAAGTGCTAGTTGATGTGTTGATACAAGAGCAGCTTCTGATATATTGGACCTAAGTTATATTCATGCAGTGCTTCAGTTCTCTTAAAGAGCACGGACATGGAGAAGTCTTAGGTGTCCTGGGCACAGTGAGGTTTGAAATATGTTGGCTTGGGACCATGGAGTGCCTATTTTGTCTGTAGGGTCCTGGGTTCAATCCCTGGCACCACGTGGCCCACACACCATTGGAAGTGAGCCCTAAGCATTGCAAACATGTCTTTGCAGTGACATTATGTGCTTAGTAATGCTATCAGCATTTGACTTCATATGTGAAGTTCCTTTAATTTTTTAATTAAAATGTATTTATTTATTGCTTATAATACTAATGTTAAAAGCTTCTCGTGGACATAGTTCTTATGGACACCACATCCATCACCCAGTGTATCCATCCTTTTAAATGTGAAGCTACATAGTCTGTAGTCAAATAAATGAAGGACTTCTGACATAACAGTTACTGAGAGTGAAAAAGAAGTTTGGCATAGATCTTTCTGGGTTGCAGTGGATGCGAAGGTGAATCATATTGACTTAAACCTTTCACATTATGCTTTTCCTCCCCACCCTACCCCCAAGTTTTTTAAATTTTATTAAACTTTTCCTCCCCTCCCTACCCCCAAGTTTTTTATCTTTTGAAAAATGTTCCCCTTCCTCCCCTGTCCTTTTTTGCTGTTGTTGTTATTGTTGTTGCTATGGGGGGGAGGGGGCGGCGCATCACAGATTTGATGCAGTGCACTGGAACTCTCAAACTGTGCCATGGTGCTGAGGATCCAAACAGTGTTGCTGACAGGACAGCCTGGCATGTGGGGTGGTACCAGGGATCAAACTCTGACCCTGTGTCCAGAGAGATAGTGCAGTTAGTAGGGGTGCTTGCCCTGCATGTAGCTGGTCCACCTAAGTGTGATCTCCACAGCATCCTATATGAGCACCACTAGGAGTCGTTCCTGAGCGTGGAGCCAGGAGTTACGCCTGAGTACTGTCAGTATGGCCCCAAACCAGAAAAGTCAAGTTTTGGCCTCATGCTTACAAGTGAGGTTCCCTACCATTGAGAGTCTCTGCATCTCCCCTGTCCGCAGCATTTAGAAATGCTTATTAATGTTCTTGTTGAAATTAAAATTTAGCATATGCACGATGGTAAAAGTCTGATCACTGGATTATGATTTTTTTTTTGCCTTTTGGGTCACACCCGGCGATGCACAAGTGTTTCTCCTGGCTCTGCACTCAGGAATCACCACTGTCGGTGCTCAGGAAACCACATGGGATACTGGGAATCCAACCTGGTTCGGCCATGTGCAAAGCAAATGCCCTACCAGCTATGCTATCGCTCCAGCTCTGGATTATGAATTTATTTTTGACTCTGAGAGCCCAAAGTGGTTGACTTACTCGAAGGCATCTTTAAGACCTTTACTTCTGGATCCTTAAATGTCTCCTGGCCTCCCCTCTTCTAGCCCCCTAGGGATGGAATTGTTTACTGATCTCCAATTTGGGAAAGAGGGGGCGAGAAGAGGGGAGGGCAGGAGACATTTAGGACCCCATAAATGAAGGTCTTTTTTTTTTCTTTTTGGGTCACACCCAGCTGATGCTCAGGGGTTACTCCTGGCTCTGCACTCAGGAATCACTCCTGGCGGTGCTTGGGGGACCATATGGGACGCTGGGAATCGAACCCGGGTCGGCCGCGAGCAAGGCAAACACCCTACCCGCTGTGCTATTGCTCCCGCCCCTCTATAGTGAAGGTCTTAAAGACACCTTCTAATAAGTCAACCTCTTACAGCTCTCAGAGCCAAAAATAAATTCATAATCCAGTGATCACACTTTTACCAAATTGGACACCAGGGTCAATTCTGTCCCTAGGGGACCCTCCACCCACTCCACTCTGCCCTGCCCTCACATTCCAGCCTCGAATATTTTCTGCTCTTGAGCTGAAGTAAGTGTGGTCCTGATTATAGTTGCAAGAGTCTGTGAACACTTGCTCTGCAGCCACTCTGCAGACTGTTCCTAGTTCCCTGAAGATTGTGCTAATGGCCATTTGAGTGATCGGCATGCTAGCTTCCTCAAGCTTGTACTTAGGGAGCTCTTAGGGGTCATCCGTGCATGGAATTTCTGAAAACTATGATACATCTGTTTGAAAATCTCTTTTTGTACTTATTTTTAATTTTTTTAAATGGAATAATTCCCAAACATGGCTCAGGGCTCAGGAGTGCACTTCTAGTGGTACTCGGCTTACTGGGCCAGAGAGTTCAGTAGTTTGACCCAGCAATGTAATGCTGCTTTGCCCCAGAAGTGCCAGGAACCACGAGAGCCAAACTGGCAGTTCTTGGGGGCCATGCAGTGCCAGAGATTCAACTCAGATTCTCAAGCATGCAAGGCATGTATCTCAGGTCTCTGAGCTATGTCCCTGGCCCCTGTTTGAAAACTATCAACTCAAATGTAATGTGTATGCTATTTAGCTGCGATATTTATCAATCTAAAAAGAACATATTTGCTTCTAGAAATAGAGTCAAATCGATGCCTGTGCTTGTTTCACCATGCAGGTGAACTGTCTAGATGTGGAGTTTATTCCTGTATTTATTTTCTCCAGTTTTTAAAAATCACACCTGGGAGAGTTCTATACAGTTGTACAGGATGTGCACTGCACAACTCTATGGAGCTCCAGCTCATAGTCTCACGTTTGTGTGCAACAGCTCTGAGTGACAATAGTGTGAACTCTCTGGACTTCTGGTAAATGAATACCCACCACCTCACTACCCTATTGTTGACATTGACCTTCTGGCCAGCATTATTTCCAGATCATTTCATAAACACTAGGAATTTTGGAGCCTCCTTAAGCTACATGGGAAAGCCAATTTCCGACACAATTCCAGGCAGCGAAGCAGGTATATATCAGTAGGGTGATGATAGAATGGTGCTCGGTTCTGCTAGACTTTCCCAATTCTCTTATGGCTAAATGTCTCTCTTTCTTCCCCTCACCATTATTTAGCCCCATTTTTCTAAACTTCCCTGGGTGATGATGGGTATTAGAATCATTCAAACTTGGAGTTAGTTCAAGATCCACAGGAACGGGGTATCCTCTCGCATTCACGAGAAGCCACATTCCTCTCAAGACTTCCTTGAGTGAAGCCTGTGTCACTTGCCCTCTCCTGCAGTTGACTCTAAAGTGAGTTGAGTAACACAACTAAGGGTGTACCTTCTGTCATTCACTTCAGGAAGCAGACTCTACTTCCCTCCATCATTCCATTTTCAAAGCCAGGAGCAGGAAAGTCCAATGACCTTGTTGCTAGTTAGATGACTCAACAATTTGTTAGGGGGCTGGAGTGATAGCACAGCAGGTAGGGCATTTGCTTGCTTGCAGCTGACCTGGGTTCGATTCCCAGCATCCCATATAGTCCCCTCTGAGCACCACCATGAGTAATACCTGAGAGCAGAGCCAGGAGTAATCCCTGAGCCCCCAAAC